GACCAACCAAGGCCGGGGACAAACTGCAACCGAGGTACATGCCCTTAGCGGGAACCGAACCCGGGTCTCTCCGGACCGCAGGCCAATGCTCTAACGCTCTAAGGGCTAAAAACATATATTTAAAAAAAAAAAAAAAAAAGAGTTCCTGAGCCATACACTAGTCAGAAAAGGACCAGGTCCTGGCATGCAGCCTGGACCATCAGCAGTGGGGCTAGATGTCCGCCATCCTGGATTGGACGGGCTCTTTTACACAGTGTGTTCCAGGGAAGAAAGATGTAAGTTGCTCTGGAAGAACTTACATTGGCTACAGATAAGGGGGTGGGGAAGGTGAAGCCAGGAAGTTCTCTGATAGGCGCATAGTCTGTAAGGAAGACATATTTGCAGAAAGTTCCTGCCTGTGCAGGACGTGATGGCGTCCAGGGAATGGACGCCGGAGGCTGAGTCAAAGCTCCCACATGCATTCAGGAGTGCGAGCCGTGTTTCGTTAGCTGGTTTACCCTCGTCGCTCTCACTCTCTGGATGCCGAACTTTAACTTAGAAGATCTCAGGATTTTGGTCTTGTTGCATCATCATCACCCAAAGTCCATAGTTCACATTAGGTAGGTTCACTCTTGGTGTTGGATATTCTGTGGGTTTGGACAAATGTGTATTGACAAGTCTCCACCATTGCAGTCACAGAGTGGTTTCATGGCCCTAAAAATCCTCTGTGCCCTGCCGTCCATCCCTCCCTCCCCTCTGACCCCTGGCAACCACTGGTCTTCCTACTGTCTCCTTAGTTTGGCCTTTTCCAGAACGTCATGTACTTGGAATCACACGGCACGTAGCCTTTTCGGGCTGGCTTTTCATTAGGTGTATGCATTTAGGTTTCCTCCCTGTCTTCGTGGCCTGACAGCTCATTTTCATCGTCTGGATGTATCACAGTTTATTTATCCATCACCTACTGAAGGACAGACATCTTGGCTGCTTCTTACTTTCTTTTTTTAAGTGTATAAACTATTAACAGACAATGCCTACAGATTTCTTCCTGGACACACCCACAGTGCGACCCCGGCGACCATGGTCTTGGTTTGCAGGCCTCGAACACGAAGACCCCTCTGTGAGCCCGAATTTTCTTCAGCCGCCCCCGGTCTTCCCGGAGCTTGTTGTCCAGACCACTGGGCGGGGCCTGGCTGTATCTTCCGTCCGTCATGTCCTTCTGTCTGTTCAAGAACCAGCCTGGGACCCTGTACTGGCGTGGATTCTGCAGAATGGTGACCGCGCTCATCCTCAGTGAGCTCTCCTGCCCTCGTGGGGAGGCTCCTATCTGCTTCCTCGACACCACGGAAGCACAGCTTCACCCACGTCCTCGACTGCAGTGATGGCAAAGGCTGTTTACTGCCGCCCCTCGATGCTGGTGTCGAGTACCCGCAAAATGCGCTGGAACTTCTGGGGCCACTAGGGAGCCGCAGCAGCCCAGCAGCGGCGTAGGCCTCCTGCGCAAGCTCGGTCCCGTCCAAGTTTCGGCAAATGTGAACAAGGCTGCTGTCCACACCCACGTGCAGGTTTGGTGTGAATACAAGCACTCGGCTCGAGGTAACTGCGGAACGGCACGAGAATGTTGAGTTCTGTAGGAAACCGGCACACTGTCCTCCAAAGTGGCTGCCGCAGGCTGCACAGCCGCGAGGTCCCCGCTGCTCCCGTCCTCGCCTGCACTTGGCACTGTCAGTGTTCTGGACGTTGGCCGTTCTAACAGGGTGCAGTGCATCTCGTCGTGGGAGTTTGCATTTCCCTGATGACCGAGACGTGAGCATCTTCTCGTGGGCTCTCCTGAAGCCTGTGTATCTTCTTTGGGGAGGTGTCTGTTAAGGTCTCTGGCCCATTTCTGATTGAGTTGTTTTCAATTGTTGACTGTGAAGAGTTCACGGGCATTGGGGGTGACAGTCCCTTATCAGCTATGTTCTTTTCCAGTTTTAGCGAGACATACCAACATCTGTCACTGCACAGATTTAGGGCGTACGGCACGACGGTCTGACTTACATATATCGTGAAGTGGTTACTGCAGTGGGTTTAGAAAACATCCATCATCTCGTGGAGACATACTGATGTGTCTTTTGCAAACACTTTCTCCCAGTCTGTGGCTTGTCTTCTCCCTCTCTTGGTAGTTAATGTATTTTTAACTTCACATAAAACGAAGTGGAACAAATAAACAAGCAGCACTTTGGAAGAACTAAGTTCCTGAGATACCGCTGTTAAAGGAAAAAGAAAACCAGGCTTGAAGGCGGCCGGCGTGGGCTTGCAGACCCGCACGGGGCGGGGCAGCCGCTCCCATGGCTGACTTTGGAAGGCTGCTCCCCCTGGGCAGAGCCGCGTCCCGGCTGTCCCCGGCCGCCAGGAAGCCTGTAGCTGCCACTGCAGCGGGTGGCGGTATGTTGTGATAAAATGGTGCAGGAAGGATGCGACACTGAAGTGTCACACTCACGAGAGTTTAGCCCTAAGCCATGGGTCCCTGGAACTCGGACCTGTTGGTACTCATATGGGGCAGGGCCCGGGAATCTGTTTTCTAAAGCCCTGCTCCCCCATCTCTGTGATCCTATCAGGCATGGGAGCAGCTATGCCAGCAGGGCAGCCACCTACTTGACTCCATTTCCCCCCAGAAAAAAGGTCCAGACGTCATCTCCAGGTCCCCACATGGAAGGCTCTGGAGAGGCCCCCCGTAGCACAGGTCCATGGGAGCCACCGTGCCCCACCTCCCCACATCACAGGCAACCAGTTGACCACACACGCAAAGGGGAAATCATTATTTTATTTCATTTAAAATATCAGGACTTTGGCCTCAACCTAGACGGTCAGTGTTTTCATTACAATTTTGCATGTGCGAAAAAACTCACGCTATGTTATTACATCATAACAAGAAGTTTGTAAAAAATGTTTCTTTTTCTTGTGGACATATAAGGGGCTCTGTTTGCACCCTTAGTCTGGGCCAAATAATACTCTTTATTAAAAAACAAAACAAGCCCTGGCCGGTTTGGCTCAGCGGTTGGAGTGTCGGCCTGGGGTACAGAGAGACCCGGGTTCGGTTCCCGCTAAGGGCACGTACCTCGGTTGCAGTTTGTCCCCGGCCCTGGTTGGTCGTGCGGGTGGCAGCCACTCGATGTGTCCCTTCACATCGATGTTTCTCTCTCTCTCTCTTCCTCTCTCTCCCTCCCACTCTACCTGAACAAAAAATGGAAAAATGTCCTCGGGTGAGGATAAAAAAAACAAAAACAAAACAAAACAGCCCTGGCTGGTTTGGCTCAGCAGTTAGAGCGTCGGCCTGCGGACCAGAGAGACCCAGGTTTGGTTCCCACTAGGGGCACGTACCTCAGTTGCAGTTTGTCCCCGGCCCTGGTTGGGGTCGTGTGGGTGGTGACCACTCGATGTGTCTCTCTCACATCGACCTCCCACTCTATCTGATGATGAATGCAAAAAAAAAAAAAAAGTGTCCTCGGGTGAGGATAAAAAAAATTTAAAAACAAAACAAACAACAGTAACTGCAGCACAAGGAGGCAGAAAGTGCCTGGTAAACCAGATTAAAAGACTTAAAAGACCAAGGTTCAGCCCTGGCTGGGTGGCTTAGTTGGTTGGGGCATCATCTTTTGCACCAAAGGGTTGTGAGTTTGAGTCCTGGTCAGGGCACATACCCAGGTTATGGGTTCGATCCCTGGTTGGGGTATGTACAGAGGAAATTTAAGGCTCTCTCTCTAAAAATCAATAGAAAGCATATCTTTGGGTGAGGATTAATAATAATGAGAATAATAATAAGGTTCAGAGACTGTCTGAGACCACAGCACCTGTTCCAGCTGAGGACACACACCTGTAACTGAGGGCTGAAGGTGGATCAACATTAAAGACGCAGAGGAGAGTGTAAAAACACCCCCGTGTTCACCAGCCCTGCCTCCCCTCATGTGACTTCATCCCCACACCTCCTCCTGTTCTGAACTCCACCCACCCAGCTGGAAGGCCCTAAGGAAGAGGGATGCTGTTTTCCAGGTTGGCCCCTGGCCTCAGGCCTGGGCACTGGGACAAGCCCCCTTGGTCCTGCCCACACAGTCTCCACCACTCACCAGCTGCAGAAACGGGGCGGGCAGCAGAGGAGGCTGAGATGGACACACCCAGGTGAACTGTTGGGCGGTGTTTACAGACCTTGAGGGAGCCCCGGAACCCAGAAGCTCTTCTGCGAGCCCAGGGCTCCCTCTGCTGGCCATGTGGGACTGCAGCCTGTCTGGGGAAACAGGTCCGGCCTGCCTGAGGAGGCCACGCCCCCGGGCCGGCTGAGCGGAGGCCCCCAGGCCCCCTCCCCCAGGAATTACTCCAGCAGCCCTTCCTCTGTGGTCCACACTCCTCCTGGGCTGTGGACCCTTCTCTCTTCTGCAGCAAACAGCTCCTGGACCTCTGCTCCACTCTAGAAGCTAACACGAGGGTCTTGACCAGCTATGTGGCCGTGATCTGCGGCGACATCCTTCAGGGAAGCACGGATTTCCCTTCCACAGGCTGTTTCTGGCTGACTGACTAGCTCTCTAGCGCAGCCCAGAGCTTTCTTCGCATCCTAAGGGGGTGTTTACCTCTTGCTGGTTTTCATCAAGAAACTTTAAAACAGAAACCCAAAACGAGTGTTTTGGACTAGCGTGCAAAGAGTCATCTGACTGTTCCTTTGGGCTTCCCTTCCTATTTCGGATTTCGCTTTTCAGAGTAAAACAGGGATCCACAGGACGGACTTGGTTTTCAGCCAGAACTGTGTTACAGGCTGTGGAAATCATTTCGGTTCGGCAGGGTTCTCATGGGACCCAAGGGAGGGGCACCTGTGGGGGAAACGGGACCCCCCGCCCGAGGCTCCGGTGGCGGCGTCTGCACCTCCCATTCTGAGCCCCTGGCTTGACCACGGAGACAGTTCAAGGGCTGGTGGGAGAGCTACAGAACAGAGATACAGATGCTAATTTTAAATCATTTCTCTATTACACGTAATTGATCATTCGTGCCCCATGTGTCACTTCCCCCGGCCAACTCCCAAAGCTTCACCTTTGGGGAGGAGTCAGTATGTGGACCATTGGTGGTTGCCTTTCCTAAAAAAAAAAACAAAACTAGGAGGTGAACAGGCCAGACCCCATCCGGATGCAGCCCCAAGCAGCCTTCACAGCACAGACCCGAGACGAGGCCTCGCAGGGGGTCCCCGCCGCAGGGGGTCCCCGCCACGGCCTTTCTTCTCCCTGGCCCGACACTGCGCTGGACGAGAAGCCTGTATCTGATGTGCCTGGTGCAGGCAGGAGCCTGGATTCTGGCCTGTGCTTGAAACTCAAATGCGATCTGCACCACAGGTGGGCAGCCCAGAGCTGGGGAGCGTCCGCGGAGACCGGCTGCCGGAGCAGCCGTGCTGGGCTGTGCGCGTGGCGGCCACCAGGAACCCTCCAGGGAGCCTGTTGGCGGGAACAGGCTCCTGTTGACTAGCAGACTCTCCCAGAAGAGCCAGGCCCTCCGGGGAAGGTCAGCACCCGGCAAACTGGGAGTCTGCTCCAAGATACTAGGTGGGGGTACCAGAGACATTTTATTTAGGGTGGGTCCCTGGTGTACACAGCTCGTCATGCTTTTCCCACAGCTGTGGAGCCGCACGTTGTAAACAGTGCTGTGTGGTCCGGAGGCCGAGGACCGCTGGACCACAAGGCAACCCGGCAGTGACCACGTACCACCGGTTCCCTGAGTCTCCCTGCCAACCCTCAAGCAGACGGTCGCCCGAGGGCAGCGGGTCACGGGTGTGAGGACACGTGCCGCCTGAGGGTCTCGGAGGTAGAAGAAGCGGAGCTTGTGGCTGCCCCTCGACGGGCATCAAGAGCTCCCACAGAATAAGGCAGGCTGCCCGCCGCAGACGTCCCTGCCCACTCCCTGCAGCAGGACTCAGCCCCGTCTGTCCAGGGCAGCCCCACACAGAGCCAGGCAAAGTGCTCAGGTGTGTGGAAGTTCGTCGGGGTCCACCTGGGTCCCCGAGTCTCGCGCCCTGGAGGGGGCAGGAGCCTGGGGCAGGCTGGTGGGGGTCTCCGCGGGCAGCTGGGCAGGGCAGCAGCAGCAGCAGCGAGAGAAGAGCCGTGTCCGGACCGCGCGGGTGCAGAGGACGAACATGATGCAGTTGGCGCCTCCCTGAAACGTGTTCCCGATGCCCTGCCAGGGAGGAGAGAAGAGGCCGGGGTCTCAGACACATGCCCCAGGGGCTGGCAAGTGCTGCAAACCCAGAACCTTGTCCTCCACCCCTGGGGCTGGGCTTCGGTGACCCTGCCATGTGGGCCTTCGGCTGGGCCCTGGGAAAGTCTAACTTGCAGACCTGGCCCAGACCTGTCTCCAGGTCCTCTGGGTTGGGAAGGACCCAGGATCCGTTCACTCTCCTAGGTCTACTCTTAGGCTGCTGGACAGCACCCGGTTTCCGCTCCTCGGGCTACACGAGAGCCACACTGACCTTGCACCTTCTCTCACCAAGGCTCACTGTCTTGGGCAGGAAGGAGGGCACAGTGGAGCGGCCCCGCCAGCCCCATGTTGGCTGAGGCACTGGGACGTGTCCCCTCTGCAGGGGGCAGCGGGGCCAGGGAGGGCGGGCCTACGTACGTGCAGAACAACCAACACCGGGGTCTGCACGGCCGGGGAGCCGCAGAGGGTCAGGACGAAGCGCACAGTGCTCCAGACCCGAAGGCAAATGAAGATGAGCGGGATGAGAACCAGCTTCTTATCAGCCATGGAGCTGTGATGCTGAAGTCGGTGCACCTCCGACAGGATGGGCCGGTACTCGGAGAGCGCCTGGTGCTGTGCGGGGACACCGAGAGCTGGCGTGAGCAGGGCGGGATGCTCCGAGGAGGAGAAAGCAGTGAGCCATGGAGTGCCTCCACCTGCACGCTGGAGCCCAGTCCCCTCTCCAGCCTGGGTCCTTCTCCTGAGCTCCCCTCTCCTCGATCCACGGCCTATGCTGCATCCCCACATGGATGCCTTAACACTTCTGAAAACAGAACACCTTATCTGGACCCCAAGCCCGCCGCATGCCTCCCCATCTCAGCTCATGGAAACACCATCCTTCCAGGTGCTCGGGCCAAAATTTGGGTGTCATCTCTGATTTCTTTTTCCTTGTTACCCCACATCCTATCTGGGGACAAGTCCCGTGGGCTCTACCCTCACAAGAGACCCCGAATCTGGATGTTCGGTCCCCTGCCACCAATGTGGTCCAAGCTCCACCACAGCTTCTCTGGATGGCTGCTGCCTCTCCTGGTCCGCCGTCACCCTGACCACCAACCCCCTCCCCCCGATGGCCCTGTTCTCAGCGCAGAAGCAGCACAGTTGCTCGGGAACCTGAGTCAGATCTAGCCAGTCTTCCACTTGAAGCTCTCGGTGCCCTCCCATTTCATCAGTTCCTGACGAAGCCTCCCACCCAGGCTAGCCTGGCCTCACCCCTCCACTTCCCCTCCACTTCCCCTCCACTTCCCCTCCACTTCCTCTCCTGCAGTCTCACGGTCTCCTTATTATTCCCCAACTTGCCAAGCACATCCCCCCCAGGGCCTTTGCACTAGTGATTCCCTCTACCAGGATGCTCTTCCCCACCCACCCGTGTGCCTCAGCCCCTCACCCTCTTCCCGTCTTTGTTCCAGAGTCGCCTTCTGAATAAGGCCTAACCTAATGACCCTACCGACCTGCAAAGGCATTTCCCATGCAGCCCCTCCCCACAGCCAGCTCTCTGTCTGTGTCTGCTTTCCACAGCTCTTCTCCTCCTCCTTCCTAGATGTCGTTCTCTTTCGTTTATCAGCACCCCCCCAGAATACAGGCTCCCCAGATCCTGCCCCAGAGGAGAAGCTCGCAGGAGGGGCTCCCCCCAAGCTGGGGCAGAAAGAAGAGGCGAGTGGGCACCAGCTGTGGCCTCCCCAGCCCTGGGGACGCCCTTCAGTGCGAAGGGGGAGGCTCCCCTTCCAGATCCCAACTGCCCTTGTAAAAACAGACAAAACTGTTCATGACAAAGATGCGTTTTTGAGCCTGGCTCTGCGCCAGGGCACTGAAGGTCCAAGTGAGAGGAGGAACCACACACCTTGGCATCTGTGGGCACCTGAGCTGCTGCAACTCACCTGCTCAGAGCACCTGCCTCCTCCCCGGGGCCCTCAGCAGCGGCCCCGTCCAGCACCGGCCGCCACGGGCAGGGCCAGGTGGCTCCAAGGCGCCCCGTGAGCTCTCCTTCCGAGCTAGAGGCAGGGAGCCATCAACTCCTCCCCACCCACTGTTCTTCCTTCTTTTGGACTGGCCCCGCGGCCCCAGGCTTACTGCCCATGGCAGGAAGGGCAGCTCCAGAGGGGCATCCTGGGCAGAGCCCGGTGGAGCGCTGGTAGCCTTCGGGGAGGAGGGCACCCCTGGCCCAGGCAGAGGACAGAGAGGGTTTCAGACCAGTTGCTAAGCCCTGCGGGCATCTCTCCAGCTGAGACAGAAGGGGCCGCGGGGAGGGATGAGAATCAGTTCCGAGTAAAAGGAGAACCAGAAGTCTCGATGCGAGCGGGAATACAGGTGGGGATCAGCTGCCAGGAGCACCCTACAGACTCAGGAGCGGCTGCTGAGCCGCCAGTGCGCCCTGAGCGTTGGACGCACTGGCCAACGCCGCAGCCTTGCCCGCGCAGGGCACACCAGCGGCGACCCTGCAGGACGAGCCAGGAAGTCCGCGTTCGGAGTTTCACGGGAACCTGTCTCCCTGCTCTGGCCACTGTCACCTTCACCTTGTATCTCAGTTACTTACACAACTGCCTCCGCCTGGGCCAGGACCCCCATCTGAGTTCTCGGGGTACACTCCCACCGCACACTGTGCTTCTGTGCATAGGAGATTCTCAACAAAAATGTATGAATGAGCCCTGGCCGGTTTGGCTCAGCAGTTAGAGTGTCGGCCTGCGGTCCAGAGAGACCCGGGTTCGGTTCCCGCTAAGGGCACGTAACTTGGTTGTGGTCTGTCCCCGGTCCTGGTTGGGTCAGGCGGGTGGCAGCCACTCGATGTGTCCCTTTCACGTCGATGTTTCTCTCTCTCTCTCTCTCTTTCTCTCCCTCCCTCCCACTCGTTCTGAACAAAAAAATGGAAAAATGTTCTCCGGTGAGGATAAAAAAAAAATGTACTGAATGAGTGGCTGATCAGATCAATGGATGAGTTACTCTGGGGCTTTCTGGGTAGCAGTTTGCTTGTGGCCAGGAGGAAGCCGTAGTTGACATTTGCAGAACCAGGAGTGAAGAAAAAGGAACCAGTTGGCCAGACTGGCAGAGAAAAACCATTCTTTCCTAGAACTGGCCAGCCGGCCCAGAGTCTGATTTAGGAATCCCCGAGTACCTGGAAAGCCTGCCTATGTGATCTAATTCTAATCAAGGACAATGAGGTGAGTTATTGCATCACTGATGCTGAGACTCAGGGCCTCCCTTCCAGCTCAATTTTTCCTTGGATGCCATTCCCCTACATTCCGCTCGAGGCTGGGCCACGCGGTGTCTGTCCGGGAGGGCTGTGGCCGAGCACAGGCTGGCTCTCTCCTCCAAAGCTGAGCAGGTCTGGGGAGCCCTTGACCTCCGCAAGCACCCCTTTCCTCATCTAAAAACAAGGAGTCACAGAGCCCGTTCCTGCCAGGGCTGTGTAGTCAGCAAAGCAGACAACCCACGACGCGTGTAATTCACGGCGACGGACACACAGCAAACCCTCCATTCCTAGTTCTGTCCCCTAGGTGGCCGAGCCCAACGCCAGGACGCAGGGCAAGCCCACACCGGCTCGGCGGCCACACGGGCTCTGGGCACCTACCGCCCTGTTTATGTGCTTCCTGACGAGGAGGTAGAGCACGGGTAGCGTGACGTAGGCCAGCATCTCCCACAGCTTCCCGGTCAGCAGCATCCACAGAACGTGGTCCTCCGCCTCCAGGTCGATCCAGCACCAGCCCACGGACACGTCCGAGGCGTCGTAGCCGATCTTCTTTAGAGCGACAGCTGCCACGGTGATGGCCAGTGGAACCCCCCAGCTGAGGGATAAGGAGTAAACAGGCACCGAGGTCAGCCCTGGCTCCCGGCACAGCCAGCAGGGAGAAATGACTGGGATGCTCCTCAGACGAGGAGACCCCTGCCCTGCGTTCCCGGAGGAAAGGGGGGCAGGGGTCCTCAAGGCCTCGGTCCAGCCCTGCTCTGCCTGAGCCTGCCAAGCCCACCCCAATGCCCAACAGCCAGCCCTCCGACCAGCCCGGGTCTAGGGGTACACAGACTGATGACCTGGGCTTGCTTGGGCACGGAGGTCCAGGGTCCCGTGTACCTGCAGCAGGACCTGGAAGGGGATCTGGGCTTTGGGCAGACACACCTCCCAAGTCCTGAGGCCTCCTCGCTCTATGTGGGGTCGTGCCCTAGCACGGGTCAAAGGGGGTTCTCTAAAGCAGAAAGCCCAGGGCAGCACCAGGATCACTTTTCTGGAGTTTCATTACTATCCCCAGAGCGACGCAGCACGGATGAGGCCTGAACCTACGGCCCCATCCCAGTGACCTCAGTGTCTCTGCCCCCAACAGGGGAGGCAGGAAGGAGCTTGTCCTCCTAGAAGTCACAAAGGCACGGAAGGGGCAAAACCCCTCACAAGTTAAAGGGTATGTCAAAGGTATCAAGTTACACCCAGGAGTTTGTGCATGCCGTTTGATTCCGGGGCAGGGCACGTGCCCAAGTTGTGGGCCCAATCCCCAGTGGGGGGCATGCAGGAAGCAGCCAATCGATGTTTTCTCTCATCAATGTTTCTCTCTCTCTCCCTTTGTCTCTAAAATCAATAAAGAAAAAAAACTAAAGTTATATTGTTCTATGCAAGCATTTACCTTTTTTTTTTTTATCCTCACCTGAGGACATTTTTCCATTTTTGTTCAGATAGAGCGGGAGGGAGAGAGAGGAGGAGAGAGAGAGAGAGAGAGAAAAACATCGACATGAAAGGGACACTTCCAGTGACTGCCTCCTGCACGACCCCAACCAGGGGATGAACCGCAACTGAGGTACGTGCCCTTAGTGGGAACTGAACCCAGGTCTCTCTGGACCGTGGGCCGAAGCTCTAACCACTGAGCCAAACCGGCCAGGGCAGCATTTACCTTTTTAAAACTCATGCCATCCTGGGATTTTTAGGACATTTCACAGCTAAGAGTCCATGAGGGTGAAGGCCGTGCTGGTTCACTATTCTGTCACCAGGTAGGGGCAAAAGAAGGGCCTGCTGAATGAATGAACGAACGAATGAATGAATGAACAAATGAATGAACGAACCAACCAACTCAAGCCAAGTGACTGAGAGGTTTCTCCAATTCACTCCTTACACATTCGCTGTGTGCGCAGTACTGAAAAGGAAGTAAAGGGCTTTTAAAGTTGCTAAAATGGCAATCCTGAAGTTGTATGCCTGGCTTCTCATCCCTCGATGGTCTGCGAGGCTCCTCCAAGGAATTCCGGGAAGGGAAAAGCACCGTGTGCAGGGACGGTCACGGGGAAGGAGGCTGGGCTGGAGTGGAGGATCCCCAATCAGGTTGGAAGCAGGAGCAGAGAAAGAACCTGAGGAGGGCGCCCACTCCAGGCAGCGAGGTGATCCTTTCCCCTTGCTCAGGTCCTGCTGGCCCTGACAGGAGACCTGGGGACCACACAGTGACATTCCGAGACTTCAGATGTGTCCTACTAAAGCTACAAAGTGATGTACTTCCTCTAGATTACTGGGGTGTGCCCAGGGCTGACTGTGTGCTGGGAGTTGCCAGAGAGAAGACCAAAGAGGCAGAGAGAAGGCTTTGAAAGGGTCAAGAACGAGGGTTGACCAATCAGAGTTGCTGTTTGAATTTAAGCATAGACGGCAGTTCCGTTGGTGCCAGAAGCTGTTCCGGGAGGTATTTAGTAGAAGAGGCAAGATCACGGAGCCGGAGCCGGTGGGAATGAAGTGGGAGGGACTGCCTCCTAATCCAGCAAAGCTGGCTGAACCAGACCGTAACATACACTAATGCATACGCCTGTGGTGCACTGGTAATGCTTAGCAACTGGCTCCCGAAAATGTATTTGTACACATGCATGCTGGTATGTGAATGTGCACATGTACACTTATTATAAAATGTGCCCAGCCGGTGTGGCTCAGTGTTGACCCATGCACCAAGAGGTCGCCGGTTCGATATAAAAGATGTGGCCCTGACCAGTTTGGCTCGGCAGTTAGAATGTTGGCCTGCAGACCAAAGGGTCATGGGTTTGATTCCCAGTCAAGGGTCCGTATCTGGGTTGCAGGTTCAATCCCTGGCCCCAGTCAGGGTCCTGCAAGAGCCAACCGATCAATGCGTCTCTCTCATATCGATGCTTCTCTCTCTCATATCGATGCTTCTCTCTCCCCCCACCCCCTTCCACTCTATCTAAAAATCAATGGAAAAATATCCTCGGGTCAGGATTAACAACAAACAAAAAGAGATGTGAAGCACAATTTACAAGGAAGAATACTCAAAACTCCTCACAGTAGATTCCATCTGGCCAATTGGATCTCACAGAATGTCTGTGTTGATATCCATCCGCAGCCGCGCTATGGCAGCAATTAGCAAAGAAGTAGTTCCAGGGCGTGGAGCAGATGGATGTTTCCTCTTCCTCAGGGGAGAGGAAAGGGAATTAGGAAGACATCAGGGATAAGACAAATGCCGCAACTTCACTGGTTGACAGTGGTACCAGCAACTTCCTTGTGGGCACAGTCAATGATTTTCCAACAGTAGAGAAGTATTTCTTTTTCTCCTGCTCGTGACATTGCCTCTTCCCATCATCTCCCCCTGAAACACTTGGCTTCCTGCTTGCCGTCCCCCCACCATGGCTGCCATCTCTGCTTAAGTTCAGAGACAAGTAACACGTTTAAGTCTAATCTTTACTTATTAATGTATTCTCCATCACTTTCTTAAATCCAAATCAGGGGTCCAGCAAACTATGGCCCCCAGACCAAATTTGGCCCATGATCTGATCTTTTAAAATAAAGTTTTATTGCAACATAGTCACACTCGTTTGTTTACATCTAGGCTGCTTTCAGGTTGCAAAAGCAGAGCTGAGCAGTTGCAACTCAGATCACATGGCCCAGGAAGCTGAAAATATTTACTGTCTGGTCCTTTACAGGAAAAGTATGCTGCCTTCTGCCCTACACAATCAACAAGACAACCAATCAAGCCCTGATCTGTACTGTTTGCCAATTTCCAAGGTGTAAATATTCCCACCACGGCCAAGTTCAAGCCACCAGTTCACACGCACGCACAGCCGCATACCATCAGCTAGGGTTTCTATCACACAGGTGCGACAGTAAAAACCACCTCACGCGCACAGAAGAGAGTAAAATGCAGTCCAATAATCAGGATGTGATTGATTCTGAGTATTTTTGTGACTTTTGTTTTTAATATAATTCACTTAATTTTAAGTTTATATAACCTCATTTTTAAGCATGGCTGTATATAACAATCAGCTCAAAAAATGCCCTAAAATTTAACCATCGGGTCTCGGCAGCTGTCTTGCAGGACACCAAACGTGGACAGAACAGCAAAGGCTAGGGAGCTGAGAAAACCCTACTCTCCCGTAGGCGGGATGGTCTGGAAGACACTCCGCAAAGACGTGTGACATAATTCCCGCTTCCCAGAAATATATGCTTCCAATCTCTGACATATACCACTTCACTGTTCTTTATTCCTCCACAGAAAGGAAGTCGTCAACCAAAAATGAAACAGCACCAGAACAAGTAAGATAGCTGAATAACAAACAGCATGTTCGAAAAGGACCAGGGGCTCCCGTTGGTTTTGACCTAGAAGCCCAGGTGCTCCGAGAGGTTGCCCGATGCCTCGATGTGGGAGTTCAGAGTCCTGCCTCTGTGTGGGCACCTGCGACCCACACTCTAAACCTGAGGCTGTGAAGCTGGCACCAGAGCTGGGCACGTAGGACAAGCTGGGCCTTGTTCTCAGATGTTTAAAGACTCCTGCTGGGGAGAAGGGGCCAGATGGGGAGAAGGGCAGGGTGTCCTGCTCAGCCCTGAACCTGACGGAAACCACAGGGCCATGTGTAGGGGATACAAAGACGTGCACTGGGGTGGGTGGCACATGGTTAAAGCAGGTGACTGGTAAGTCCCCTTCTCTCCAAACCCAGGGCTCTGAGGCTGAGGGGAAGCAAGGCTGGGGTCATCTAGATGGAAGGAGCCCGAGGTCAACGCACTGAGCGGAACCCCCAGGAGAGGCTCCAATGGCTTCTCCCAGAGGGGCCTGGGCCCCAGCTCTCACTTCTGCCTGCCTGGAAACTGAGGTCCGAGTCAGCGACCTCCCCCTTCAGAGGCTGTGGTGGGCTGAGCTGGGCCCCCCCCCCCCCCCCGAACTCATATGTCGAAGCACTAAGCCCCAGTACCTCAGGAGGTGACTGGAGTTGGAGAGAGGGAATCTAAAGGGGCGATCAAGGTAAAACGAGGCCACTAGGGTGGGCCCTAATCCAATCGGACTGGTGTCCTTACGAGAGATTAGGTCACAGACACACCTAGAAGGACGAGCATGTGAGGCACAGGGCACAGACAGCCGCTCCAAGGCAAGGAGCGAGCTCTCCCTTCCAGCCTGCGGGACCGGGAGAGGACAGGTATCTGCGGTTTGAGCTGCTCCATCCGGGGCACTCTGTTACGTAAGACCCAGGACACTAACACAAAGGTTTTCTACAAACTACAAGGGAAGAGAGACATGCTCTGGTCAGGGGTCAAGGTCCTGGCTCCTGGGGACCCCACTCCCAGAGGGGAAGGGCTGGATGGAGACACCCTCCCCCGCCGCACCCAGACTGGCAGAGCTTGGCGGAGGAGGAAACCGACCAAAGACATTCAGATCCATCACAAGGAGCTCAGCGCTTCCTAGAACTGGTGTCCTTTTTGTTTTCAGATCTCCTCCAGGGAAGTGGAACTAGACTAGCCAGGTGGCGAGTAAGCCACCTCCCAGTCCCTGACATTTGCCGGCTGACTTCAACACGCACGGTGCCCAGAACACAGAACAGCGGGTGCTCT